TTTTTAAAAGTTGTCCTGAAGCTTTGATGATTGCAAAAGATAGAAAATACCTCACATCAACAGCGATAATTTTAAAAAGAATTTTCTGCACAACGCAATGTGATATTTTCTTTGATGTAAGTTTTCAGTTACAGTTTGGTAATTAAAACGTTGCGTGAGTTTAATGAAGCGTAATTTTTTGTGAGAAAAATTAGTAATGAGAATACACGCTACGATTTGATACAAATTCATAAATAAATTGCTGTTTTTTGTATTGAAATGGAAGCATACATAATTATTGCAATACAAAAATTAGCATAAGCAGGCGCAATTGACTGTATTGGGAAGTAATATGGGAAGTAAATTTGTAAGTACTTGTAGATGGACACCTTTGTACAAGGTCATTTTGCATACTAATTAACCTTTCTTCATCGAAAATGCTTTCCCTTCCTTGTCCTTTATGTCATCTCTTTCACTTTGAATGTTTAATTATTGTCCATTCCTTATTTGTTATTACATTTATTCAAATTAAAGTATGCTAATTACTTTTATAATTAAATATTTTTTTTTTCCATTTCTTCTATCTGAAATCCGATACCTTCAAGGGTTTCATTCAAAATTTTCAGATATTGAAATCTAGCAATTTTGGATTATTTGATTAACAATTTAGAAGTGATTCTAACTATCAAAATTAAATCACAAAGCTAATTCCTACTAAATGATTTCTTTCTCGGAATCAGTAATTCCTCTGAAATTATTCTTGCAGTTGAAGCTTCTTTTTTGATATCTTAACACTTCAATATAAATAGACTTAAAATTTCAATTTAAATACTAAAGTTTCAGGTGTATGCTAGATTACAGTGCTTTAAAATTCGAAATTTTTGCATTTCAATTTCTATATATTATATTTTTGTGTTTTTTCAAAATTTTTTTAATATTTACTTTATTACAATGTTTCAATCAATTTTAGAATTTATTATGCACAATCTTAACTTTAGAAGTTATTGACACAAACTGATACTTGCTAGTTTATAATCAGAGCTAATGCTTTCTAAAAAAAAAATTTCCCAAAAATGTAATAATCTTTCCCACATTTGAATAAATCGTTGAGGATAAACGAAACTAAATTTATCAACAGATTCAGCCACCAAATTGTTTTAAATTTTGGTGAGAAGTGCAATCTAATGTTGATTATACTGATAATAATGATGGTAATGATAATGAGAATGACAATAATAATAATAGTAATGAACGATGGAAATAATCTTAATAATTTATCTAGCTTTTTCGTCATTTGAGATATCGATTTTTCAATGATTATTATAATTTTTATCAATTATTTATGTGCATGCCAATAATTAACATTACTTACTATCATTATTTACTACTGTAATTGTTATAAATTTTATTTGCCAGCATTGATTCTAATCACTGTGATTACTTTCAATTACTAACACGTTCAAACACAATGCCAGGGCATACTCAGACTTGGATTTAATTACACAAATTCTGACTCAAATTCCATTATAAACACTAATTATGAATTTTATTGCTATGTTGTTGAAGTAATCAAAGCAAATTACAACTCGTAATGAACGCATCTTGCAGAAATGCGAAGAAGTAAGCAAACAACACATGTTGCTGGCAGAAAATGAGCCTGCAACGGTTTCCACCTGGGCGCATTCGGTGAGCTTTTAATGACTTACTTTTTGCTCAACTCTGTCCTTTTGGTATGTTAAGTTAATTTATGCAATTTTCATTAATTAATTAATTAATTCACTTATTCTTGCCAAAAATCAATAACACATAGATATGATAAATATCTAGTTGCTAAACTAAAACAACGCTACTCAATTCACATTGTATTGTGGAATATCTTTAAGAATGCTACCAAATTGATTAAAATAACTTTTTATTCAAACAAAGCAGTCTATTTTCTGACCTTATCCTTTGTTCCATGCAGACAAATACAACAGTGATCTATCTATACGTGTAATATAAATTTGAAGTGTGCAAGGACTCATATGATACCATAACATTACATGGTTGCATTGTACTGAATTGATAGTACGGTGAAATTTTTGCTCTTTAAACTTTTCTCGTAAATGTAAAATGGCTTAGTTTGTGGTAAAGTAGATCAAATAGCTGGTGTAAAGTAAGAAGCCAGTGCGGGAATTTTCTCTGGTCAAGAAGACCAAAGATAATGACAGTTTTTAAGAAGGAACGCTACGCAGAAAAATTATTATCTTTTATAAGTAATTTTGTTAGACTTTAAAGATTGAGAGAATTACGTGATTGTGTACGTATGTGTTTTAGTCTAAACTTTCTTTACTTAAGCAGCAGAGAAGTGATTGCAAGATTTGAGCTGATCTCGAGCAACAGCTGTTTTTAGCTTTTTATTATCATTTCAAAACCATGTCCAAATGAACCAAATTTTGATTCATATTTCAGCCTTGATATTAAAACTATTTTCACATTTGCATTACAAGGCTCAGCTAATTCAGATAAGTGGAGCGATGTTCCTAAATATTTCCTTAAATGATTTTTGAAATTTTATATTTGTGATTAGTTTTCTTGTACAGCAATATGCTGCCAGTAGAGGAGTTTACTTGACAAAATACATTCTTTTCAAAGCAATATTTTTCCTTTTTTTGTCCGCAAATATTTGAATTTATATATATTTATGTAAGAGTTGATATTGAAAAGAAACGAAATTTTTTTCGGCTGAATTTCAAAGCTTCAAAATTTTCAGTTGTAAATTATTAATCCCTGTGGTAATTTTTTAGCAACAAAGTTTTAGCATAGCAAATGAATACAAATTAATTTAGAGAGTATTTATTAATCAATAGGTTAATAGGTTAATTTAGAGAGTATTTCCTATATCAATAGGTTATTAATCAATAGGTCAATAGCCTGTATCAATAGGTTAATTTAGAGCGTATTTAAGCAATGTAGTAACATTGCTTGCTAATTTGGAAAATATTGATGGGAGAATAAATGAATTTTGCATTTTACATTTCAATAACAAATAATGAGCAATCTACTCATGCTTATAAATTGAGTTTTGTCTTGTGCTTTCAATTTTAGTCTACGTTAGATCAGTCTGCAAGAACAAATTTGAATAAAATGTGGCTGAAACTTTGCCTGTTCCAAAAACTCTAGCTAAAAGTTCTTCTTGATAAGTCAGAATGAATTGGAAGTTTCCTTGTTGAACTCTTCAAACTTGAATGAAGAAGGCTGCTTAAGGAAGATTATAGTAGGAAACTAAAAAGTTAGAAAAATGCAATGCTTTCAAATGCAGCGATTATTCAAATTTTTTAACTTGTTCAAAAGCATGATTAAGTATATTTCATATCAGTGCTTTGCTTCAAACTTCTTATTAGCTTCTCTTCCTCGTTCATGTTTTAGACAAGTTTGTTACTCATTTTGAAAGCTAATAAATCCAAAAAAAATCAAATGAAATTCGGAAATCATTAATATCAAATTATTATTACTTAGTCTTTAATGGCCAATAATATTATTTAAAAAATAGTGCAGGTTTTTTTTTATGTTTGCTTTTATTTGAGTAGTATAACGAATAAAAACTTTCTGGCAGTTTCTGAAATATTTCCAATTATACTCATTAATGTCATTCTAGTATGTTAATCATTATATTTGTTAAGTAGTTAAGAGCGTGAACAATTTTCTAATGGTACCATTTAACGTGAATAATTCACTTGCATGAGACATAATTGGGTCATTTTTTATGCAGATTTGAATTCTGAAATTATTTGAGGCCAAGTATGGGTGGTCCAAGTAGCGGGTTAATCCCGAAAGGAGTTGGTGCACCTCCGCCACCAGGAATGGACAATCGTCGCGGCAAGCTAATGTGTATTAAAGTTCGTATGCTGGATGATTCAGTTGGAGTATTTCATTTAGGTGTAAGTACTTTATTTCAATTATTGACTATTATGAAAAAAAAATTTGTATTAAATTCAAATTTATCGATATATTTGGCATATTTACCTATTTGTAATGTATTTGGAAAGTTGTAGTTCAGAAGCATCTGTGAGGTTTGTTTTTGTACGCAGCCATTTTGCGTTTTCAATGAAGTTTTAAATTCAGTTGTGACAACTTTGTCATTCTTATTAATTAACTGCAATGAATTATTCTTGAAAATATTATTTCCAGCATAAAGCGCTTGGGCAAGCCTTATTTGATGAAGTTTGTCGACATTTAAATCTTTTGGAGAGTGATTATTTCAGTCTTGAATTTACTGATTGCTATGGCAATCGTGTATGTTTTTATTTATAATTTTTTGATATTCTTTTTTTGCTTTGATATATTTATAATTTTTTGATATATTTTTTGATAGAGGTACTAATTTTAAGTGTTGGCTGGATAAAGATAAGCCTATTTTACGACAGATCACAACCACCCATAGCGATGCACGTTTCTATTTCGTCGTTAAATTCTACACGCCTAATCCAGCAGATCTTGTTGAAGAATACACCAGGTTTTTGATCTCGATTTTAATCTAAATATAATGATTTTTGTAACAGTCATTTATTTCACTAATCTTATCATGAATTTAACACTAATTCAAATTTTCAATCTTTTAATTTCAATCCATTTTCACTTGTTACTCCATAAGCAAATAAACTTTCATTAGATACTCTCCAGATTTTAATTTAAAAGAGCACTATAATTCTATCTGAAAATATTTATTTTTCACTACCATAGATCTTGTTACAATGATTCTTTTCGCTAAAATCTTAATACTTGATATCATTCCAACTCAAAGTTGTATTTCATGCAAATATAACCAACCTTACGCCTCAAAGGCAGTAATGTATTATATTTTGAAAAGATTTGTAGATAAAGCAATACCTTGCAAAGTTTTGTTCGTGATTC